CCAACACCAGCGCAAACGGGCCTGGTGGTGAAGGGCAGTCATGGCAGGCCTGTTGGCAGCCCTATGAGACAGAAGATTGGCTGTGTGCAGTCTGTTCCTGACGGTCTGGGTTTCTAAGTGCTGACAGGATGAGGAAACGGTCTTCTTGGGGTGCCATCTTCTTGGGAGGCCCACTTCGCGGCCTTTCTCTGACATCCCCCGTTTCATGGAACTTGGCCTTCAGTTTGCAGAAAATAATAATAATACATTTTATTTATACAGCGCTTTTCAAAACTCAAAGACACTTTACAGGCAGACAAAAAAAGTGCAGGGAAATACACCCAAAAGTGCAAAACAGCAGACAAAAGAGGAAAAATATTACAGACAGGAGTGCATTAGTTATAGACAAAGTTATAGACAAATAAGAGTGCTGACATTACAAAGTTAGGTGAGTACAAGGGAAGAGCAAGAAAAAAGTAGGCTGGATCAAATTTTCAAGTTAAATGCAAAACGGAACAGGTATGTTTTGAGTTTGGTTTTGAAGGAGGTGAGGTCTGTGCAGCTGCGGATGTGTTGTGGGAGGGAGTTCCAGAGGGTGGGGGCAGCAACAGAAAAAGCTCTGTCCCCCCAGATGCAGCGCTTGGTCCTAGGTACGGTGAGGAGGTTGGCATCAGAGGGGCAGAGGGTGTTGTCGATAGAGAGATGGAAGTCTTTGGCTTTCAGGGTGAGGGAATTTGGACCAATTATGAGTAGGTCTGATTTGTAGTAGTTGAGTTTGAGGAGATTTGTTTGCATCCAGTGTCTGGTATCAGAGAGACAGTTTGAGAGGATGGAGTGGGTCTGAGAGGTGATGGATTTGGTGGAGATGTAGAGCTGGATGTCGTCAGCGTAACAGTGGAAACAGAGGCTGTGACAATGGATGATCTTACCGAGGGGGAGGAGGCAGAGGATGAAGAGGAGAGGACCAAGCACCAAACCCTGGGGGACACCTTGGGACAGGGGGGCAGTTGAGGAGGAGCAGTTGTTGATGAAGATGAATTGCTTCCTTTCAGTAAGATATGATTGGAGCTAGGTGAGGGCATGATCTCTGATGTTGAGCAGACATTGTGGGCGGGAGAGTAAGATGGAGTGGTTAATGGTATCAAAGGCAGCGGTGAGGTCCAGGAGGATGAGGATGGAGAGTTGGCTGGAGTCTGAGGAGAGGAGAAGGTCATTTGTTACTTTGAGGAGGGCAGTTTCAGTGCTGTGGTGGGTACGGAATCCGGATTGAAATTGTTTGTAGAGGTCATTATTGGTGAGATGGGCTTTGATTTGTGAGGCAACAACATGTTCCAGGAATTTAGACATGAATGGGAGGTTGGAAATGGGCCGGAAGTTACTGATGCTGTCAGGGTTGAGTCCAGGTTTCTTGACGATGGGGGTTACAGCAGCCAGTTTCAGTGATGGGGGAACAGTGGAAAAGTTGAGGGAGGAGTTGATAATCCCTGAAATAATTGTGAAAATGGTGGGGAAGCAGTGTTTAACAAAGGAGGATGGGATGGGATCTAGGATGCAGGTGGAGGATTTCATGGTTGAGATGATTTTGGACAAATCAGCTGGGGAGAAGGATGAAAATCTAGAGAATGGTGAGGTGATGAGCAGGGGGGAGGGAGGAGGAATGGGTGATGGGGTGGAGGATAGGGAACTGTAGATGGTGTCAATTTTGGATTGGAAGAAAGAGAGGAAAGAATTGCATTTGTCAGTGGTGAATGAGTTTGAAATGTTGTCGCTGGGATTGAGGAGTTTGTTGATGGTGAAAAAAAGTGCCTTTTGGTTATTGGAGCAAGTGTGGATGAGGTTTGAAAAGTCGGCAGGGCGGGCAGTGTTGAGGGCGGTTTTGTACAGTTGAAGGTGGTCAGTGTATGCTTGGAGATGAACAGTGAGTCTGTTTTTTTGTCTTTCAGTCTTTCAAGCTGGTGCGATTTCAGCTGGTGGAGTTCAGGGGTGAACCAAGGGGCTGAGTGTCTAAATGAAATGGTATGGTTTTGATGCAGGCTAATTGATCAAGGCAGGAGGAGAGAGTGTTGTTATAGTGGTTGACAAGGTCATTGAGGTCATCAGATAGTGGGGGAGGGGATGTAGACAGGATGGCGGAGAGAGATGCTGAGATGTCTTGTGGTGAGATGGATTTGAGGTTTCTAAAGGATATTGTACGTTTTTCTTTGGAAAGGCGGGTGGGGAGGTGGATGTCCATGATGATAGCCAGGTGGTCAGAGATGTGGAAGTTGATGCTGGAGAGTTGTTGGATGGTGAGACTAGTGGAGCAGACTAAATCCAGGGTGTGGCCGCAGGAGTGGGTGGGGAAGTTGACATGAGTGAGGTTGAGGCAGTCAAGGAGGACCAGAAAATCAGAGGCTTGTTTACAGTTAGTGTTGTCAATATGGAAGTTGAAGTCGCCAAATAGCAAAACTAGTAGCAAAACTGACGGTGAGATGGCTGAGAGATGTGTGACAAAATCTGAAAAGTCAGAGAGAAAAGATGGATGTGGTTTGGGGGGGTGGTAGATTACAGCAATGACAATGGGGGTGGGGCTAGGGAGTTTAAAAGCAATGTTCTCAAATGACTGTACAGAAGGAGTGGATATAGTGTTGATTTTGAGGGTCCTTTTGTGGATTGAGCCAATGCCGCCTCGTCCAGTGAGGCGGGGTTAATCAATGTATGTGTATTCAGCGGGGGTGGCTTGGTTGAGTGTGAAATAGTCCAGAACAGAGTTAACAGGCTGAATGGTGTAGGAAGCAGCAGGAGAAGGGAGTGACAGGTGGGGCCGGTAGGGGGCGCTGTGGATAGTGGTGGTATTCTGAGTTGGGACCGTAGAGGAAGAAGGGGGGCGCTGCATGGGGAGTGTAAACAGTCAGTCACGTGGTTGATTGTGAACAGCATGCTGCAAGTTAGCTGCTAATATGTGGCTTCCCAGTTTGTCCGGGTGGAAACCGGCGGGTTTAAAGAAGGATTTTCGGCCCCAGAACAGACTGAAATTGTCCGTGAAGCTCACGGAGTTTGTTTTGGCAGATTGATGCCACGTGTGGAGGGATATTATATGGCTGAATATTCCATATCCACAGCCATGAGGAGAGAGTGGGCCACTTATGAAGACTGATTTTCAGATGGTGTGGAGGAATTGAAATTGTTTGTTGAACTCTGCTTTGGTGATCTCAGACTGTTGGTGGTAAGCATCCACGCAGCCAACGTGAATGATTACTCTGAGGACAGATGACAGGAGTGTTTGGAGTATGCTGGGGAGTTTAGCAAGAATGGCGGGGACGGTTGCTCCAGGGAAACAGTGAAGCGGATATTTTTTGTCATGGAGTCTCCAATTATTAGAGCAGTCGGAGGGGGAAAGGGGGTGAGGAGTTGGTGGTGATGAAGGGAGAGAGGGTTCTGATGGAGATCTGGGTGGTGGTGATGGAGCGGGTGGAGAAGTGCAGGGGGAGAATGAGGGAGGAGAACACTGCGGAGCCGGTGTGAAGTGCGGGATGGAGAGGCGGCGAGCTCCGGGGAGAGCAGGGCACCGAGGGGGGACTGAAGTGAAGGTGCGTTGTTGGACTGTGGGGAAGGTTGGGGTTCTGCTGGTAGGGGAGGGAAATCTTGCAGGGCGAGGATATCAAATCTATTGTCAAGCTGCGTGGTGTGGTGGAGTGCGTGAGGGGCTGCTTGCCTCTCCTACTGTGAGGAGCGACCTGGGACCAAGATGCAGGCTCTCGAGGAGTGGAGGTGGCCAGGGACCTGGGCTTAGCCCCCTGCCTGATCCAGGTGGGGTCGGTGTTGGAATTCAGTGGAGGGATAGCAGGGTTAACAGCTGCCCGATCGGGAGCAGTGACATCATGCACCAGGGGAGAAGTGCTATCGGCAGGGGCAGCAACAGAGGCAAGACTGGTGGCTGATTCAGACTCTGGTGGTGTGGAATGGAAGATGATGGTGTCCATTTGCAGTTTGGATTCACAGATCTTGCAAAGTGTGGAAATACGTTGTTCCAGCTCTGTGACCCTCTCGGCAAGGACAGTGCAGTTGACGCAGACGGATGGAGAGGTGAGTGGAGCCATGGTGAATATAGTGGCTGGAAAACAGAGTAAAAGGAAGGCCAGTACGGGGGCTAAACGTGCTAAGTTCAGGTTATTGAAAGCAGGTAGGAGTAGTTAGTAGAGAGGACACAGACACAGGGACTTAACACACAGGGGCTCCAACACGGAGCCCACAGCGGTGAAATGGCTTAGCATTAGCGGAGAAGACCAACAGAAGGCACGGAGCAGAGCAACAGGTAGCGAAACTTACCGGTAGGGGCCCAGTAATAGGGCCCACTGCAGAGGATAAGCATCCGGGTTAGGAGAAGCCCGAGGGCGGTGGAGGGGTGTTGAGTCCCGGTAATTTTCCAGTAACATGGGTAATGGTAAAAACAAGCTAGCTAGCTAGAGGTTCGCTAGATGGTACTAGGGCTCACTCCAAATAATGCCACAACTTGGTTTTGCGAAACACCAACTTGAAGTTGCCCTATCGCACGGGCCCTATCCAGATCAGTCAAATGTGGCATGCCAATTCTTGGAGCAGACACCGACTGACCATTGTAGCAGGGCCCATGTTCACAGGTGCTGATAATCAGGTGCAAATCAGACACCTGATTGTCAGCACCTGGGGGTACCAGAAGCTCAAATTAAGAGTCAATAGCAACAGCAAAAAAAAAAAAAAAAAAAGAAAAAAAAAAGCTGTTTGGCATTGGCAGAGAAGATTTGGCAAATATTTCATGGGTGCAACCCACATACTCAGCTCTGCTGCTCATCCCACAAATGCATGTTCCTTTGAAATGTGGCACCATGTCAAAGGGAAATAAACAGGCTTTCCAGTAGTATAAGATTTATTGCCAAGAAGCATTGTTACAACAAAGAAGTAATCTACCAAACACAAATTTCCTTACTTTTGTGCTTTGTTGGAGATATCTTATTTCATGACAAAGAAGGACAAAAGGAACTAAAAGGAATTATTGAACTTACGAAAATGCAAAAGCCACCAGTGCTCCACTGACCACTATGAAGTCCAGAATGTTCCACAGGTCTCTGAAGTAGGATCCAGGATGGAGCAACAGGCCAAGGTCCACCATCTAAACCAAACATACCGTTGTTTTTGAATTTTATTCATTTTATTCTAGTTTATGCTGTTTTACTTTGTGTCATATCCATTACATTTGATCTATTTCAAATAAATTTCATTTAGATATGGAACTATGTTATTAGGCTTGTAATGAGTGAGTCTATCATATAATATCTTTGGTGATTATTGATTATCCTAAATATTGTTCTGGTTAATTAATACATTAATCATTTCACAAATCATTTTGGAATTAAGTATATTAGTTGTGAGTTATTCTGAAGTACGGGTTTAATCGCTATTGTGTTACCAGGTGAAGGACATTACTTTTCCTGAAAACAAAGTGGATTATGAATAAAAAGGGACAGTAAGGCAATGTTATATCCTAAATACAACATAGTGTTCACAACGGGGGAAGGTCCTGGCACTGACTGCCTCAATGTCCTTCATTCATTTATCACTTCAGTATTTTCAGTACGTAGAAAATATGTTGAGTCAGCAACTAAGTTGTGATTAAGTCAAATACATAGTCATTACAGTTTAACTAAGTAAGGAAGGTGCAGCAAAAGACTGTTTTAAATGTGTATTAATCTAAATCCTTACCTTAATCACCATTTCAAAAGTGAAAACACCAGTGAAGGCATAGTCTAGATATTTCAGCACCTGCAAAAGAGAGATAAATCAATGACAGACAACAAATCATGAAACATATTTTCCTCTGCAGTCATGGCAAAAATTAATGAGGAAAGTTATGGTATCTATGTTCTCATTATTTAAATGCTAATTAACTTCACTGACTAACAGGCCAAGTTCACACTGACAAGAAAAGGATTCGGGATAAAACACTTTTCCAGACAATACTCCTTCTACCAAGAGAAAATAGGAAGTTGATCTTGAGGGGTGATTACAGATTTGTTCAAATGTACAATCTGGCTCATACAACTGGAGGCTCAGACTCTTGCAATTCAAAATTCTGCATGGAACATATTATATTTCCTTAAAACTGCATGCATTCAGAAATGTCCTTTTTGTATTGGAGGTGTAAGAGACAAAGGGGTACTTTTTTGCATATGCTATGGTGTTGTTGTAATCGTAACCCCCTTTTGTGAAGAAAATATGATTTGTTATTTCTTAAAACTTGGAAATCAATTTCATACCTACTCTGCATCTCTGTCTACTTGGAAACTTTAATGTTGTTGAATGTCATTAAAAGAAACTGTCTTGCATTTATTGTTGCAAAAAATGTAATGCTGTCAGCTGAAAGGCCTTTCCCCCCAGTGTCTCAGTGAAAGGCAGAGATGTCAAGTTACATTCGACTTGAATACTCTTGTATTACATTATGAAAGTAAAGCTGGACATACATGACTAAATATGCACACCTTTGGTAAACTTTATCAACTTTATCACTGACACGCTGTACACACTAAATCCTTAATGTTTGGGGATAGACTTGCTTGTGGAGTGACCCTATAACATGTATTGCTTGTAGAGTGTCCCCCACAAATTATAAACATTTATTTACTTTTGTAATTTTTTAAATAATTAATTAACTAATTAATGTTTTTGTAACTGCACTCCTTGCATTGTTTTGTTTTCCTTGTTTGTCTTGCCCTGTCTGTCTGAGTGTATCCCACATTCATATAAGCATTCACATAGCACTGATTCTCAATCTGCGGGGGCGAATCTGAGAGATAACACCGTCCCACCTCTGTCAGAGAGAACACTTTTGCAAATCCAGAGGAGCTTGGGATTGTAAGTGTTGTACTGTCTAAAAAATCTAATTATTATATTACAAAAACACTTTTTGTTTTGTAGTGAATATGAAATATTTGTGTGCATGTGTTTACGTGCTAAGTGTTGTTTTTTCATTCACACTTGGGTTTCTCACATTGTTGCGAGGGGCGTTCGTCCAGACAGGATCCTCTGCTGCTAAGGCAATACTGCTCATAGCAATGACAACCAGGATGGACATCTCAAAGTATCGCAGACTCACAATATAGTGACATAACCGCCTCACCCTGAGGAGAGAGAAGCAGGGACAGACAGACAGACAAAAGCAAGGAGGTAGAGGCAGAAAAACAGCAAGCAGAGGACACAGATGGAACAGAGATTAGGCTGTAGCAGCAGCTACTGTCTCTGAACTATTTCTTTGCTTACATACATAAACATAAACATAAACATAAACATAAACATACACATAGGTAGGGATGGGAATTGGTAGGATTTTGCTGATACCAGTGCCAGTATTGATTCTGTTTATAAGTCTGATTCTTTATCATTTCCCTTATTGATTCCTGATTAGTCTGCTGTGTGAGGGGAAAAAAGTAGGCCTACACAGTGTCAACGTAACTGTAACATCTCTGAGACTGAACACTAGTAGATAAAAGATCATACATGAGATCATTTATGTACTGCATTTATTTTCAGTTAGGTTTTCATACTCAAATAAAAAATCTGCAAAGCCTGCCTGGACGAAACTAATATTATTAAAGATTTTTTACCCTCGGTAAGAGATGCGCTGCTTGATTGGGAAGCAGTGGCACTCGTGTGTAAAGTGTCAGATACAGAGTATTCTTGTAATTTAACCCATGTTGCATAGAAAGATGTTTTAGCATATTGCTGCTGTTTCCACCCTTACTTTATTTTACAGACAGTACAAACAGTACTGTTGTCGTCTTTCTTTGTGAAATGAAGCCACACTTTGGGTTGTTTCTTCCTCTCCACCATTACACTTCCAGCAGTGTGGATGGATGAATCTGATGTCATTGTTTTGCAATGCACAACTATCAGAAAAACATGTTGACATCAATAAAAGGAATCGATAAACTGGGAGGCATACAGTTCCAGCAGACTGAATAACTTGGAACTGCTTTACAACTGGAACCATTTTTCGATTCTGTTTTGGTTTTTTGTGAACAATGATCAAGTTTAGAAGGAAACAAAGCTGTTTAATCATCACATACAGTACATCATATCTTGTGTTAAGTCAAATGTTTAATCAAAAGCACTGTGTATAAAATTATATTTTTTTTTTTGTAAATTAAAATTTTTATAAAAAAATATAGTTTGGATGGGACTCAGATCTAATGGAAGTATAAAACTCATTAAGCGTCACTATAAAAAAAGCATTATAGTAAAATAGCAAAAAAACATTCAAAGCCAGGCCAGGAATATCTGTGTAAAGCTGAAAGATACTGTGAAAACTGAGCTGGGAGTGACTCTGGGAGGAAAACACACAGATACCCTGTTATGTTTGATATATAGGCTACATTAGATATGATATGAATTATGATATATAATGTGGACCCTATGCTTTCACATATTTTTCAGTTGTGTCTAAACAGAGCAAGAGAGACGGACACACACACACACACACACACACACACACACACACACACACACAAGCAGACGGACAAGTCTAGGAGTGGGAACCTTCACACCCCTAGTTATTAATGGTATTGATATGATGATATGATAGCTTATATATTAATAAAAGAGCTAATACATCCAACCACTACTTAGTCTAACTTCCACAGAATGTGGGAGGACTTGCATGGAAGTAAAAAAGTGGACAAAGGAGGTTAAGGTGACTCACGGATTGGTCTGTCCAAAGATGAACATGGAACTGTAAGGCAGGATGGGTTTGGGACCACTTTGACCAAGATCCCCAAGGCTCTTCTCATTCATTGGCATTGTCTCACAGTCTATGCTGTTCACTGGGGAGATAGATAGTTTGATTACAGCAATGTAGGCAAGGGTCGTGTAAAGCAGCCTCTGTCTTCTCCAGCAGGTCATTAACATTGGTACCTTATTTAATTGTTGACATGGCAGAGTCATGTAATCTCATTTAATGTCTTTATAACACCATTGGAGAATAAATCAGTCCTCCTCTTCCACCTCTGCAAAGCACAGTCAAATACAATAAAAGAATCCTTATCATTACCATTTAATCAAGATTTGTTGTTGGTCTCCTGCCACAAATCAATGTACATTTTATTGGTTGGAGGTATTGGATACAATCTCACAGAAAGTCTCAGTGCCTATTGAACCATTTGTAATAACTGTTTTATTTGGGGTTACCCTCACAACCTCATATAAGACCTTTTGGCTGGATGCTTGATTCGTCCTGTTCTTCCTGCTCACCTTTCATGGATTTGAGACATTTATTTTGTTATGATGTACAGTAAAGCTTGATTTATGGTCAGGCACTCTCAACATTATTGATAATGGTCGCTCAATAAGAATTAAACAGTTGCACTTCAGTGTTTTAGCAAAGCTCCTCTAGGCATGTCTGACCATAATGTTTATTTGGCTCCCATCTACAAACCTGTCCTGAAGGAAACAAAATCTGAGCGTGATTAGTTCCGGTCTGGTCAACGGAATCTATCCAGCGCCTCCAGGACTGTTTCTTGTGCACGGACTGGGATTTGGGATCAGTTGCTCTGATCTGGATGAACTAACAGAGACAGTCACGGCATATATTAACTTCTGTGAGGACATAATTATCCTGAAGAAATTAATCCACATCTTTCCCAATACTAAACCATGGGTGTCTAAATCTCTTAAAAACATCATTAACCTGAGGAACATCAGTTTTATTCAAGGTGATGTCACTCGTAGCAGAGAGTTGCAGAAGCAAGTTAAGAGAGAACTTAAAATTGCTAAAATCTCTTATAAGACCAAGGTGCAAACTCTGCTGAAGAGTGGAAATTCACGCCCTGCATGGGAGGGTGTAAAATCTATTATGGGCATGAACAAAAAAAAGTACTCTATTTCTTTTGCTGGAAAATCAGAATCCGAGCTGGCGAATGACCTGAATAACTTGTTTATGATTTTAGCACTGAACTGTCTGTGTTTAAAAATGCTCCCCCACAAGAACTGAAGGTACACATTGACAGTGACTCTGTGTTTAAACTACTCAGGGCAGTAAAAGTCCTGGCCCTGATAATATTAGTGGCTGTCTTTTGAAGAATTGTGCAGCATCACTTTCTGAAATATTTTCTTTTATTTTTATGAAGTCCCCTCAGCTTCATAAAGTTCCTAGCATCTGGAAAAATTCAGTAATTGTGCCTGTGCCTAAGATTACATCCCCCAAGTCTCTCAATGACTTTCGGCCTGTTGCTATTACTTCTCTTATTATGAAGGCATTCGAAAAGATAGTTAAGGCTGAGCTCTTGGGAGGGACCCAGGGATTATTGGACCCACTCCAATTTGCTTACAGGCCTGGTAGAGGTGTCGAGGATGCTGTGGCCACCTTACTTCATTGAGTCCAGAGCCACTTTGATGGTGTTAAGAACTTTGCACAGTTGCTTTTTGTGGATTTTTCCTCGACTTTTAACTGTATCCAACCTCATATTCTAGCTGATCGACTTACCAGCATGAACATTGACCAAGGCCTTATATGTTGGTTGATTTACTTTTTAACTGACACATCCCAGAAAGTGAGAGTTAATGGTGTTTTATCATAGGCTGACCAAATGTCCTCTTTTGCCCGGACATGTCCACTTTTAACGTCCCGTCCGGGGCATCCGGGTTTTTTTTATAAACTGATGATAATGTCCGGTTTTCCGTGTTTGTGTGTGTGTTAGAGTGCGGCACGGGCAGCATATTTCTGTCCGAACCCGAACCGAGCCCGACATTATTTATAACCAAAGCACTGAGTTTGTGTCACACAGTTGTAACGGTTACAGGCTATTTAACAGGCTGGGTGTGCGCCGTGGGTGCTCAGCATAGAGGGAGACCTCCGTGTTTGAGACGGGAGCGGGAGGTCCGACGCTTCCAGTGAGAGGAGAGGAGAAATAAAACAAAATAAGATAAAATAGGAAAAACCTGTCTCCCTCTTTTATTTTATTTTCAGCGTTTAATCAAGGCGGAGGCGGGCAGCTGGAGGTCCGAGGCTTCCAGCAAGGGGAGAGGTAGAAACAAATGTGTGTCTGTGTGTGTTATGTTCAGGTGTTGTCACGTAAATAACAGTGCCCAAGCAATAAACAGGACAGACAATAGGATTTTATTTATTTTTACACTACATTTTCACTGAAAGCTGACCGAATCCGACCCAAGCCCGAATACAATTTATAGCTACATTTTTGACCAAACCCGCCCGACCCGTCGGGTACCGTCGGGGTCGTATCACCACACTCTAGTGTGTGATATGTGTCCCCTATTGGGGCCTATCTGAATTTCTGTCTTTGAGAGATATTATTTTGTAATATAACTGAATTTTCTATCCATACATACAGTACAGGCCAAAAGTTTGGACACACCTTCTCATTCAGTGCGTTTTCTTTATTTTCATGACTATTTACATTGTAGATTCTCACTGAAGGCATCAAAACTATGAATGAACACATGTGGAGTTATGTACTTAACAAAAAAAGGTGAAATAACTGAAAACATGTTTTATATTCTAGTTTCTTCAAAATAGCCACCCTTTGCTCTGATTACTGCTTTGCACACTCTTGGCATTCTCTCAATGAGCTTCAAGAGGTAGTCACCTGAAATGGTTTCCACTTCACAGGTGTGCCTTATCAGGGTTAATTAGTGGAATTTCTTGCTTTATCAATGGGGTTGGGACCATCACTTGTGTTGTGCAGAAGTCAGGTTAATACACAGCCGACAGCCCTATTGGACAACTGTTAAAATTCATATTATGGCAACCATCAAGCGCTACAACGAAACTGGCACACATGAGGACCGACCCAGGAAAGGAAGACCAAGAGTCACCTCTGCTACTGAGGATAAGTTCATCCGAGTCACCAGCCTCAGAAATCGCAAGTTAACAGCAGCTCAGATCAGAGACCAGATGAATGCCACACAGAGTTCTAGCAGCAGACCCATCTCTAGAACAACTGTTAAGAGGAGACTGCGCAAATCAGGCCTTCATGGTCAAATAGCTGCTAGGAAACCACTGCTAAGGAGAGGCAACAAGCAGAAGAGATTTGTTTGGGCCAAGAAACACAAGGAATGGACATTAGACCAGTGGAAATCTGTGCTTTGGTCTGATGAGTCCAAATTTGAGATCTTTGGTTCCAACCGCCGTGTCATTGTGAGACGCAGAAAAGGTGAATGGATGGATTCCACATGCCTGGTTCCCACTGTGAAGCATGGAGGAGGAGGTGTGATGGTGTGGGGGTGTTTTGCTGGTGACACTGTTGGGGATTTATTCAAAACTGAAGGCACACTGAACCAGCATGGCTACCACAGCATCCTGCAGCGACATGCCATCCCATCCGGTTTGCGTTTAGTTGGACGATCATTTATTTTTCAACAGGACAATGACCCCAAACACACCTCCAGGCTGTGTAAGGGCTATTTGACCAAGAAGGAGAGTGATGGAGTGCTGCGGCAGATGACCTGGCCTCCACAGTCACCGGACCTGAACCCAATTGAGATGGTTTGGGGTGAGCTGGACCGCAGAGTGAAGGCAAAGGGGCCAACAAATGCTAAACACCTCTGGGAACTTCTTCAAGACTGTTGGAAAACCATTTCAGGTGACTACCTCTTGAAGCTCATAGAGAGAATGCCAAGAGTGTGCAAAGCAGTAATCAGAGCAAAGGGTGGCTATTTTGAAGAAACTAGAATATAAAACATGTTTTCAGTTATTTCACCTTTTTTTGTTAAGTACATAACTCCACGTGTTCATTCATAGTTTTGATGCCTTCAGTGAGAATCTACAATGTAAATAGTCATGAAAATAAAGAAAACGCATTGAATGAGAAGGTGTGTCCAAACTTTTGGCCTGTACTGTATACCTTTTAAATATATTAAAATTATAAGGCATCTTTGAGTAAACTGCGAGTATCATTTAAGTAGGCTATGTCGTGGCCGGGCCGAGTGTCCTCCTTTTTGGAAATCAAAATATTGTCACCCTATTTTATCAGATGTCCTTTTATCCTCCACCGGCTCACCACAGGGGTGTGTCCTCTCACCACTTTTATTTGTTTTACACACTAACGAGTGTCAATGTATTTATGAGGGCAGACATATTTTTAAGTTTGCGGATGACTCTGTCATAGTCTCTCTGCTCAGTGATAATGACTGTCAACATGGCCCTGTATTGGAGGATTTTAATGCCTGGTGTAAATGCTCCTTCCTGAACATCAATGTCTCAAAAACTAAAGAAATGATGATCGATTTTAGGAGGAAGTCTTCCTCTGTCCCCCTTCCTTCATTGATGATCAGGCTGTTGAGGTGGTGAAACAGTACAAGTATTTAGGGACAATAATTGATGATGCACTCACTTTTGATGCCAACACTAATGTGGTATGTGCAAAGGCCCACCAGCATATGTATTTTTATCGCAAACTGAGGAGTTTTAATGTCGATAGTTTTATGAAAATATTTTATTCTTGTTTTATTGAGTCTGTTTTAACCTTTTCTTTTATCTGTTGGTTTGGGTCTCTCACTGTATAAAATAAGAAGAGGCTGGAATACATTGTGAGAATGTGCAGTAAAATAGCTGACATTACTCTGGAAGATCTTTCACTCTTATACAGAGTCAGAGCCACAAGGAAGGCACAGGCTATCTTAGACGACTGCGCTCATCCTCTTTTTGCAGAGTATAAGCTGTTGCCATCTGGTAGACGGCAGATATGTTCTGCTGAGGTGTAGGGCAAACAATCATTTGTCCCTGCCACCACTGGACTCCTCAACAGCATCATGTGACATGTTTTTTTACTTGTTGTGTATGGTGTATGTGTGTGTGTGTGTGTGTGTGTGTGCGAGATTTCTTTCTTGTTATTCATTGCTGGCTTCACAAAAAATTGCCTTTACCTTACCTTACCTTACCTTACCTAATAATGGCTGATTGACAGTTACTTTTTTTTATATAATGAAGATGTCTTTGTTTCCCTGGCACAAAATTGGAAATAAATAACAAAAAACACACAAAATAAAAAGCAACAATATAAGAACATCAGTATTGACTTTCATCCAAATTTGAAACATTGGTATCGGCCTGGATTTTCACAATCGCAGAACAAAACTCAAAGATCAAGTGTCAAGCGACATGTTTTTTCTATCAAAAATAGATCATTTCCACTGAGTGACACTCATCTAAAGTGTAAAGCACCCAACCATAAATCAGACTGAGGAGGGTCATCTGTGGGGCCCCACTACGGCCCAGGGGTCAAGATGCCAACCACTGATGGCAACATTCCCTCTTCATGTACAGTCTGAGACCTTTGTTGCATGTTATGTTTATTTGTTCACTTTTATGATTCTAGAACACTGATCTTGTTGTGTCTTTTATCAGTTGTATTAGTGTAAAAATACGACATTAGCAGCATATTCATGTCATTCCCTTTTCCTGCCTGCTTGCTACTGTAGACCTCAGGGCCGCAATGGAAATAAGTCATGTGACTTTACTGTGATATCCTGATGATTTTTTGTTGTTGATTTAAATAAAGGCATTAAATGATAAAAAAAGAAGATTGAGCCTGCTAGATTAGTGGACATGGAGACCATTTTTTACATAGGCTGAGAAACTTTTTTGCTTTTTTCCCCATGTAAAAGGGTGTTTTTGGGGAGTTTTTCCTTATTCCTGTGAGGGCCCAGGGGCAGAGGGATGTCATGTGTTGTAAAGCCCTCTGAGGCAAATTGTGATTTGTAATATTGGGCTTAACAAATAAAATTGAACTGAACTGAATTGAATCGAAATGAAATGAAATGAATTTAAATTACAATTTCTGTTATCTCAGATTGAATACTCTTTGTGGTCTCAAATTTATGTTAGTGACCAACCATTTTATTCTACCAATTTAATTTATGTAACCTTTTTTCCATCATTGTTAATGTATTACTAGTATTCATTTTAGTTTTTTTTTTTTTTTTTTTTTTTATTATACTTTTTACTTATACTATTTTTTGCCTTTTATTTGTTTGAGTGTATTGCAGAGAGATAAATGAGGCAAAATGATTTATTGAGAAAAGTTTTGGCAGAGATGCTAACTCCACAGCCGTTATATTCCCAGGCTGGAGCAGACTTTGGCAGTGTACCCTGCAGGAAGGAGTCTCAACCTTCACAGGTGCCCCAGTATTTATTGATGGTCAAGCTGGTCGCCCTGAGAGGGTTTTTTGGTTCCGAGTTGTGTTTGGTGCTTTTACTCCTGAATTCCTATATTAAGTTTAAGTGGCATTTGACATTTCCATTCCTTTATCAGCTTGACAAGTCTTGCGTCTTAGTAATATTCATTAAGACCTGATGACTGTCTATATCTGACTCCTGAAATACATTTTTGTCTCCTTTGGTGATTATTGTACTGATAGTGTCAGATTTCACCACCAGTGGGGTACCTATACAAAAATGAACGGTACATGCAAACAGCACACAATGCAGACACTAATCTGTTGAAGAAGTTCCTCATCTCCTGAGTACTCAGCATACTGTCCTATGAAAAAAGATCCTCAATGTACCTGCCATAATGGCAGTTATATGTGCATAATGCAGGCTTCGGTTGGTACTGACTTTGTATGAGGGTGGTCTCTCCAGGTGGGGAGGTGATGGTCACAGGAGGAATTTGGATGGAGGTTTGGCCTGTTCTTCTGACATTCCTCTGGTTGTCTGAGTCCTCTGGTTGGTCAGGAGGCCAGATGCTCCCCCCAGAGCCCTGCAGGGGGGAGATGGCAAGGGAATCCCCCCCTGGGTCACAAAACCTGTCCCTAGAACAGAAATAGCATCTTAAATATTATTATACAGTATATTCTTAAATGATATCTCACACTGATGCCTAGGGGGTAAACAATGATTGTGTAACTTGCCACCACTGTCAGTGAAATTAATTTGATATAACAAAGGCTAATGGGTGTGACAAAACATTACAGACCAGCGGAAGAAAAACATGTTGCTGTAAGATGACATAATGTCAAAGGGTTTAATATTTAATCCAAAGACAGAATCTTTGATGATCTCTTCCAGTGCAATTTTAATTTTCCTGCCAAAAGGCAAGTGTACCTCAGAATGATCAGGACGGTGATGTGCTTTCATTGTTTACGCATTGTTTAGGCTCTGTCTTGTTTGAAATCAAACAGTGACAAGTTTTAAGTGCTGACTTTCAGCTTTAGGAACAGTATTCCAGTCACACTGTGGCTTTTAAAAGGGGTTTCTGATCCATATGGGGTGGGGGCTGCAATACATGGTGCTACATTCCCTGAAACCAAAATATACAGCAAAATATATGACAACAACAAACATATATCTTACATTTAGCGGTATAATAGCATATTTTTTCACTTTCTTTAATGGGACAAACATATTACTCATTACAAAGAGTACACTGCCCTCTGTATATGAAGTTGTGGGAGGGTATGTATTATGATATGTGCTCTATGTTCCATGACATGATTACAGATTACTTCAGCTTAGATTTCAACTGAGTTCATTTTTCTAACATAGCATAGCTGAATAACTAAGCATGTGTCTCACTGCACAACACCAGACTGAAGAGAAAAGTAATTTATCAGTTAGGTTGTAGACTTCAGATAGTCAGTGGGTGCGTTTCCTTCCACCTGCTTTTACAAGCATTTTCAATTTTGAGTGAAAACTCTACTTCTCTAAGAAAAAAATATCTAAATGGTTTTTACAGTTGGAAGCATATGACCTAAATGTCTACTGAGGCCTCTGCTCCTTCTAAGAATGCAAGTAGCGACACCAATTGTGGTTTAACTGGTGCTCCTTCAGTTGTGTCATCTTGTCACCCCCTTGTTCTGCATTTGTGTCATAGCACCAGACTGGAAGGTTAGTGCTATGCCAACTCCTATTACTTGAACAACAGTAGTGGATGGAAATGCACATTGCATTTTCTTTTAGCAATTTTCTGAAAATTGGTTAAAATTTGCATGATTTACATCCCGGTACTAAATATGACTTAAGTTTATTTTGACTTTAACTCAAATTGTAGGGCAATTCCGACATTGTTCATCTGATGTGGATGTTAACACTCTCAAATGAAATCTGAGGGTCAGCCATTTAAACTCATAGTTAATGTTTCATTTCAAATCTAAAAAAAAAAAAAAAGGTCTACTGAGAAACTGTAGTTGATCCCTGTTAGCCAGAGTTCAGAGTCCTGTAAGGTCACTGTTCAGAAAAAAAAGTATTAACTATATGGTAGTTTTGATTTTTACCCATGGCTGTGGGTCTTCTCTCTCTCATTGGACTCCTCTCCTTTAACTGTGGCTTGGTCCCTGGATCCATGACTCCGTTGTCTCCTCCTCTCTCCATTGGCCCCACTGTCTCCTCTGGGATTCCTTTCCCCATCCCTGTTAGATGAATGTCCATCTTTGTGGCAGTATCTTAGTGCTCCCCTCCCTCCACTGTTCACAGTCCCAATGCCCCCTCGAGACTGCCGGTGTGAATGATGATGCCAATGCTCTCTCTCACACATGACTCCTCCACCTCCGCTGTCATCCATTGAGCTCTGATGGTGATGTCTCCTGCCTCTTTCTCGGCTGTGGGACCTTTCGCACCTCCCATCTTTGCCCCGGCTGCCATTGTGGTCTTTGGAGCTGCTATGGTGGACATGGTGGCCTTCGCCCTTACTAGTGCCACCGTTATCATTCATCTCCTCTCTCGTTCTGGCCCGATACCTATCTCTATGGCGGTGGTGGCGGCGGGGATGGTGAGGCACAGGAGGGGGAGGGTCGTCGGCAGTATCTGCCTCCTCTGGCATACAGGGCTTATGATGGTGATGCTGGTGGCTGGCCAAAAAAGGCCCGTCATGAGGCTCAACAACAAGCGGCCGGTCAAGGTGGGTTTTCATGTCTGGCCGGATGTGGAGAGCCGAGGACAGGCGGAGATGCTCCTCAAGCTCCAGCTCACTGTAGAGGGCCTCGCAGCTCGCCTGGTTCTGCCTCCTCAGCTGATTGGCCCTCTGCTCCCACACTGACATTGTCTTCATTGACTTTTGCTGCTCCTTACTGGGGAAGAGCAGAAGAACCAGACAAATCAAAACCACTAAGACTGAGTGCAAGAAAAACACTGGAAATCATTTTCTACACATTCTACTTTGATGTAGTGTGACAATTTGGTCACAATAGTTATTTCTACAAATGCTATTGGCATCATTCATGGAGCACTGACATGCATGGTTTCTTTTGAAACGTGACACATTCAGTTTGTATGTGCTTTATACTTCATGGCACATAATACCAGTAGTATATTTCATTTTATATTTCAGGATGGCACACATAGTCCCTACATGCTGAACGATTTACAGTATGATCTAAATGCAATTGAGCTTTCAACACAGCAAACTACTGGGTCCATTTATCACAGTCTACTGTGGAAACAGCTCGTCCATGGATATGTCTGAACAAAGGCCAAGCATGGGCTACATTACCATGATTTGACATGCTACTTTTTTGTCAATGTTTGTGTGTAATACAGTACTTTGAAATGGCTGAATGCATGCACTTTTGATACTGAGTGAACTAAAAACAGTGTTATCTTCATGGTGGGAAATTACATCTTACAATGCCATCTCTTTATGGGGCATTTCATCAGAGTAATCAATCTGTTCACTGCACAGATTAGGAACAGAAATTACTGTTAACTTAATCCCAAACTCCCCATTATACTACAATAACACTCTCCATACTTACCTACAACATACGGTATATAAAACCTCAAGAGCAAGTATATAGCACTACCCTCTTTAAGCGGTCCTGCTAACAGGTGAATGGACAATATGGGACAGGACTCACTGAATGAACAGAAAAGCCCATAACATGTTGTGCATGATGGCGCAGGGCAACTCTGTTTTATTTTGCTTTCAACAACATAAATAATGTGATCATGATCAAGTATGCAATAAGGAATCATGTAATCATCATGATAAACCACCTTGCTAGCAGGTGGTTGGGTTTACCTCAAGTAGTGATGAACTGGAGTGCAGACATAACTCCTAAAAACACAAAAAGGGAGCAACAAACAGAGAAACAAACAGAGGGAGAGAAGGAACTTGAAAGGGACAGAAACAGATTACAGACAAAAGCACAGAGGGGGCTAATAAGTGACAAGGAAAGAAACATGTACAGTAGATAGGCAAAATTATACAAAAACCAAAAATAAATTGTTTTTGCTGGGAAGAAGCAGGGAAATAATGGGGACAGGATATAATGATACTGGGCTTCCCTGGTAGTTCTCTTTCAATGCTTCACAACAGGTTATGCCTCCTCTCATAGTGAGGCATCACACTGATGCTTCTTAGGGCTCTAGTTTCGCAGACCAGGCAAGGTGGAGGCGCAGCGCACCTGCGCTTCGCCAACTGGGTGTGGCCAGGCGGATTTTGCAAGTTTGGCACACCGTGCGCCTGGCGCAGCTACTCCTCTTTCCCACCTCCGTCCCTCCTACCTGCGCAAGTCGGAAAGAGGGAGGAGAGAAAGTGTGGAGTGGGTTTTACACACATCACACCAATCAAATGAGCCCCTCTCCTCACCCTTAAATGCGCCGCGCGAAGGCGTAATGAGAGTTTACTCAATTCGCCATGGCAGAAGAGAGCAGCAGCGTCAGACGGTCAAACTTCTCCCAGGAGGAAACTGATGTTTTGGTCCAGGAGGTCCAAGCTCGCAGTGTCCGAATATACGGAACTGCGAGCAGACCTCCACGGGCTGATGATGCAAAGGTAGCCTGGGAGGAGGTCACCACAATTGTAAATCAATGTTGCGTTTCTCTCGTGCGCGCGTGCGCTCTCTCTTTCTCTCTTGCAGTCTCACTCTGTTTCTTTTGACTTTTCTAAGATGACAGATGCTGAATATATACTCCCTATCTGATGCTGTGGCTGTTTGTGGTTGGCTGAGAGGGATGTGAACTCATTAGTTTGCAGCTGTGTTAATCAAATCACGTTGGGTTTCCATTATGCGTGCCAAACGTGCCAAACGATGCCAATCCCCTTTGATCTGACATCAGATGTTACGGGACAGTCGATATAAAAATACATTTATGTGCTGATCGCAGATGGTTGCATTGAATAGTGTTTTTTTGGCTATTTATTGCATCGTTAATGTGCCTGATATTCTGGAAACCTGCCTGTGAGATTTTGGTGACGTGTGCGCACTGTCCGCCAGTCAGCCAAACTTCCGCTACACTGGCTGCGCTCCCCCTGCGCTGACAGTAGACGTGGTTTCAGTTGGCGAGCTTTTAGCGCACCTTCGGCGAAGCCTTTTGGGACGAAACTGTCACTGCGCCAAGCTGGATCTGTCGACACCTCCCCCTGCTGCGCCGCCACACCCATCTCAGCGCACCTCTGTCTGCCAAACTACCAAACTGAGCGCGCCTCGGGTTGCGCTGCTCAAAACTAGCTCTGTGCGGGGTCCGCCACCCTGCGCTGCGCCGGGAAACTAGAGCCCTTAGAGTTATTTGAGTCACCTAAAGTTATTTTCCATAGCATTTCTTTCAACATCTCACTACATAAAATGTGTTTGTAGCACCCTGCTAATTTTGTTTACATACTGTTTGTTTTTTTAAATATGTATTTATCTGAGCAGAAACACAGTATGTCTTAAAATCTGGGCTGGCTTAATTATGGGTGGCGTGTAATCCCTTTAATATAGTGTCGTTTTGAGAAGACCTTGAATGTCTCAGGTCCTCTTTCCTCTGTGTGCAATGGGTGGCAAGGTGTCAATTGGTTATTAGCCAGTCAGAGCCAATTAGAGATTAGTATCTTAACCTACGAGGTTCTTAGAGGAGGTGGGACTAGGAAGAGCAAGAAACACACAAAGAGTGAAAAAAACAGGTGAAACTATAAAGACATTGGGTATCATTCATGAAACGTGAGCAGAAGGAATTTGTGTGTAAACTATTCGCAGACGGAAATTTACGTGCATGTCCGCATTCATCAATATTTTACTAGCTCCGATCTTTTCGTAGCTACTAACAAAATCTACTCCTGCTCCTGACAGCTCGTAGTGCTTGTGTAAATTTAGTAAAGCAGATAAATATTGCTTGTCACTATTGGAAATTTCAATTTTAACTCGTGTTGCGCTCTGTTATGTACACAATACACAGATGCCTTTGAAACACGTAATCTAAACATGACAAAATATTAAAAATATAACACATTTAGTTAAATTAGTTGGCAATTAGCAGGTTTAAGATCCAGATTAGGTTCATGATTGTGAATTATCTATGTAAATCGACTCAATAGATTACATGTTCTTTCTACATGTTGAATGATGATAATAAAAATATCCATAAGGACAGCCGGATCACAGCCTCTTCAGCCTCGGTGCCTGGGTTCAGCAGGGGCAGCAGGTGGTGGAGCCACGAAGGAGCACATGCCAGCTGAAAGAATTATTTGAGACAACACGTTTTGTTTTTGTTTTTTTTGTGGCTTTTTGATCATTTGAATGAATAAATCTGATTTGAAAAATGTTTAATTTACGTTGTATAAAACAGAGCTTTAGGCTATTAAGATTCAAATAGACTAATTTGAAGACGATGCATACAAAACTGCTGTAGGCTATATGTTATCAGTATCATTTGTTAAAATAAATGTTAAATAGCTCTACATTCCGACAGCCATCACTGATTTAGAGTTTATCCATTACGCACAAAACATCTCTGGTTTCCCGTTCCCACTTCATTCAAAACCCCACAAATGAATCTTCTATTTGTTTGGTGACCGCTGTATTTTTTTGTGTGTGCTTATGCGTTTCTTTGCCTCCGGTTTCATATCAAACCATTTACGCTTCACCTCTGACAACTCTGGTTCTTTGTACCACAGAGACAACATTAACAGCATCTGTTACCTCCCTCCAGGCCTTCGCTTTGCCTGTCCCTGTCGCACCACTACTAACTGAAGAAAATAAAATGTTTTTTCTTAAATCCATTGGTTATTCATGGGCGGGGATTTATGCTAATTGCTGATTACCGGGAGCGCGCTGTCACTTTACGATGGATTGGCATTCATGATCATACACACGTGTTTACGATCAAATCTGAGTTTCCCGCAGCGTTCCTGAATCCGGAGTAGGTTTTTAGTAGAGTAGGCTTTTATGTGCAAATCTACACACAGATTTACTAACTTTTCATGAATGAGACCCATTAAGTGCTAGTTTTGACTTCAGTACAGTCTGTTATATTATCACGGGTTATCAAGTAAATTCCTGGGCTTTTTGTTAGCTTGTAACCTGTTAGGGGAAGAAAGAGCCATGTTGTGGAGCTTTTTCAGTGAGTAATTCTGTTAAAGGATAACTTCACCATTTTTCAACATTAACTTTATCCATCAAAGTTTGGGGTATAATGTGACATATAATAACATGTTTTTATAGTGCTCTCTGTTTCTCTGGTGGCTGCTTCAAAATCTGCTGTACTTCCACAAACAGGTGACAACAGTGGTACTTGGAAGAACTATAAGCTCTTTCAACTTCTCCACCTCTGGTTATCCAGGAGGTGTGTTCTGGATGCATCCAAAAACAAATTTTCCTTCTTATCTCCTATTTCAAACTAGCTGCGTGTTCACAAGTGAAAATGGCATCATTTATGAGTGCAGACTGAGGATGTTACAAGGATA